AGGAATTCCGTATATCGCAAACTCATTTAGATATTCCTTACTTCTTATTGTGGTATTTTTATTTTTCCTTTTTATTTCAAAATTATTATTACCTAATGCTATTTTCTTTGACTTATTTAGGATCGTTTCTAAACTACGATTCAATGTAGTACAAATTCTAACGTTGAACCTGGATAAATACCTTCTCAACTTTTTGTGATACCATTAACATGCGGTATTACTACTACACTCGGCGGAATTGATTAGTGTTGCTCGCTCATATCCTTTGGAGTATAAATTTGTTTCTCAAATTCTCGAAAAATTTTGTTTATCAATGTCAGCGAATAATCACTATTCTGTAACATTTTTTCCAGAGTGGTTCTATCCTTAAGATTGTGTTCATTGTTATTAGCAATTCTTATTCTATATGCCATATTTTAACACTATTTTTCTTCATAGCGTAGCTACGGTCTGAATGAAAGTTCAACCACCCCTCCGGCCCTCTTACTGGCCGTTTCTTTTCTAAACTAACTAAGAATTAGTTTCAGATTTCAATAGGCATGCGGAGTTACAGTTTACCTCCGAATATCAATCAAAAGATAGTAGTATATCATTTTTAGATGTCTTAATACGTATAAATCATAATGAAAATTGTATCGAAACCAGCTGGTTTAGAAAAGAAAAATGATTTGTTCGTCATAGGCCATAGCTGTAGATTTAACATCTAACTAAGGACTTGTGCTTTTTGATTTCAATGGAAATATTTTTCTAACTTTGTTATTACTGATGAAGATGTTGGTAAACGTCGAAACGTTTAGCTATCTAATTGTATAATAGTTGTACGAATAAAAGTATATTAAAAGTATTGTATCAAACATTGTTCTGTATTCGTATTGAAATAATCCAATAACCTTTGTTAAAAATGTACATGTTTTCCAAAGTAGGGTTGTAGACTTTTCAGGTATTTTTCGGTTTTCTCTGCTCGACAGCATTTTTAAAAAAATAACTAACATGCTATTTGAAATCAGCATATAAAACTGCATCTAATAGTGTGTAATTTAATTACTTTCGCAAGAAAAGTATTTTCAGTCAAATTTTAGGGCAAGGGTGCTACGCAAGGATTTTTTATCGAAAAAGTTTTTTTCGAGTTTGATTTTGTTTGCTTTTTATCAACTTTGAAACGCAACCGAGCGATATTAAACCTAAATAACTGCTTTCTAAATCTGAAAACTAAATGTCTGCGTACTCTACGGAAACATGCCCACTATGCTCAGTACACTTACTTTATCAAGTAAGACACTTTGCAAGCCTTAATGTAGATACAATGACGCTTTGAGTCCGCTCAGCTCAATACAAAAAAATGTTTTTAAGTATCATACGTTCTAATTACCTCTTCTTGTTGGCTGTTTTGTTGTTGATGGTTTTGTTGTTAATGGTTTTGTCGTTGATGATTTTGTTGATGTCGATGTTGATGTTGTGATAATAATATAATTCATACCATTGACTGTTCGTATGATAGCACCATTATCTCTGTCAGCTGTTAAACGTGTTGCAATGAGAGCTATTTGAAGTTTTTCTGTTATGTCTGCTATTCGAGATACATTGAATGATTTAGGAAACCATTTTTGTCCAGTCCATTCTAAATCAACAGCATGCTGTGTAAACCATCGTTTTATATCTTCCGATGAATATATATTTTGTTTTGTTGTAGATGATTCTTGATCAGATGACGAAGATCCACTTCCTCCAAAACCCAAGCTAAAAATGTCAAGCAAGCTGCCTTCGACTCCTCCAGAACCACTGCTTGATGATGATGATGCTTGATCATAATTAAAATAATCATCCTTATATTGATAAAATTTTGTTGCTGTATCATTGTATGTGAATATTTTCGTTAATTCATTAGTCAACAGATCTGGATTTAAATCAGCTGAATTCCACATTTGTTGATATAAACTACTATCTAATTTAATTTGTTGAGAACTATTTATAGCTAAAATATTAACGTAGAAATATGCAAGAGTGGACTATAGACGCGAGTGAACTATAAAGACGATTTTTTTCTTTCTTAGCATTGGAGAGCCAAGCATCGGAAAGCATTTAACGACTTTTCCCCCTTTTTTTTATATAAGTTTTATTCTGTCAGAATACAAGCGGAAGAATATTCCATTATAGTATTCTAAACTAAAACTATCGAAAAACACAAAATCAATTTTTGTACGAATAGAGATTCGAACATGTGAACTTAGCTTTGTAGTAA